TATTTTTTAAATAGTTGAGGCATTAATAAAAAAATGTTATTATCACAATATAAAATTTGAAATATTCACCTTTATATTAGTTTTATCCATTTTTTGTTGTTATTAATGATGCATTATTTTCTTTTATTAAAGGATGAATATTTAAATATTTACTAGGTTATATTAATTTATCCTTTAAAATAATAAGACTATGCCATTGGTAAAAAAAAATGATAAAGTTAATATATATGTAAATATTTAAAATTTTATATATAATGGCAATATTATTTTTTTAACTATCAATGCCTTAACTATCTAAAAAATATAAAAATTTGATTAGCCATAGTTCTACAATATAATATTTATTTAATAATATTTTTTAGTTAAATGATATTTTAAACCTTATGAAAAAATAATATAATTAATAGTAGGGGGTTTTAAAAAAAATAAAGATTAAGAGGTTAGTTTTAAACTTTTAAAAATAAGAAAAATTATATACAATTATTTTAAAATTTAAGATTTTTTATACATTTTAACCTAATAATAATAACAATAACTATACTGATGACAGAATGGGACTATGGTCTATTGGGCCCATATATACTGATAATAGTCATACCTTTCCCTCCAGTCTAGCGCTTTCTGCTCTAGCGAGGAAGCCGTTATACCTAGAGTCGAAATTAAAACAAATACTTGGCAGCTTGTTTCTTCATTATTATATTGTAAGTTCCATCAAATCAAACTGATTCTGCACTTGTTTAGGTTTTTGGTGGTGAAAAATATAAATCAAAGTTTAAATCATTAAATATTTCTCTTATAAAATGCCTTTTACTAATCGTAGCGTGAGAAATTTTTTTGGAGAGTTATATGAAAAAAATATTTCGCCACAGATTTAGTTGACCTATTTTAATTAATTTTATTGATCTGTGTGAGGGAGGTAACTAGGTGTACGTCTTGATCTGGTTTAATTATCAATGAATTTTGAGAGAGATTGAAAATGCGTCAATCAACCAAAGAGTCTGAAACATTTACCAACGGAAAAATAAAGTGCCACCTAGCGTATAAATATAATGCAATCATTAAGGTTTGGTTTATATGGACAGAAGTGCAAAAGAAAATAGTTAAAGCGGAAATCAAGAAAACTATGAAGAAAAATTTTTAAAGATAGAATTTTTTTTAAATTTTCTTTTCTAATTTTTCTTCCTTCTTATTTTTTCCAATCTAAATAAAGGGTTGAAGTCGCTTGGTTGGGAGTTAAATTAAAAGGAAGAGTTATACTTCTACGAAAAAAAATAATTAAATTCTTTTTACTTGGCTCTCTAAAAGCTTTAACTTTTGGCTAATATATACTTTTGATCATTTAATTTTATATAAATTTTCAATTTAGTCCGTTAATTTAGAAAATATAATTTCAATCATCTAATATTAATATCATTAATTAACTTTAAATGATTATTTTTGTATCAATTATTGTTATTTAAAAAATTAAAGTTAATATGTTAACATTGAAGAATATTTTATTAATATTTAAAAGCTCAATGTAGGAATTTTTTATTAATGAAATTAAGGGTATTAGGATTAAAGGACATAACAAATATGTAACTAAAATAGAATCTTTATGTAAGATTAGATGATTAAATGTACATTTTTCCTTAAATTTTTAGAAAATTAAACCTCACATCTCATAAATTTTTATATTTATCATTCAAAAGTATTTAAAAATTAGTTATATTTTTTAGTAATTAAAAAAACAAAGAATATATGAATTGTTCATAAAGTTATTGAAAAGTATATTCAGAAAATTAAACCATGTAAGATATTACACCTAAATATTCTCTCTGTTAAAAAATATAAAATATTTTTAATTAAATTTTATCCCCAATAAAGTAGTTATTTAATTTTAAACTAATCCTATTTTTTTATATTTACCTCTATTAAATATTCTATAATAAATATAAAGTTATTTATTAATAGGGACATTTAAAAAAAGACAATAATTACACCTCAAAAGACTAAAAATATTTTATATTTTTTAACATTTCACTCCTCAAAAAATGCCTTATATTTTTTTAATGAAGAGAGTATATAATTGCAATCACTAAGTAAGGATATACTCTTATGCTATATGTATATAACATCATGCATTTGATATAATAAGAAAATGTAAAAAACAAATATCTCGATACTTTATTAAATAAACAAATTATACAGAAAAAAAAAATAAAAGAGAATAAAAGTTATCAAAGCATTCCTGAAATGTTTGATTAATCAATATTCAATAGCATTTAAAAATAAAGACCTACATATTTAATGCCCAATGATACCTCAAATTTAATTGTGTCACATGAAAAAATACTTGTGCAATAAAAAAAAAAATAAACTAGCATGAGATGAATTTTTTTTCTTAGGAAAACACAATTAATGATATCTATAGTTTTAATGTGTTTTGGTATAAATTCATATAATTTCTTTTATTATTTCAAGTCCCTCCAAACTCTAGTTTATTTAAGATACAACATCAGTCCTTCTATTTTTTTATTATGTCTAAAAAATAATGGGGTGGTGCTAGCAATGTTAAATATATTGCTAACCTATGATTAATATTAATCTTTGTGCTGAGGTAGAATTATACTTTAATAAATTGAACGTGAAAAGTGAAACAAATCAAGGTGGACAATGACCTAATATGTTAATTCATAATTCCATTCAACATAGATTAATGGTGTTAATCTTATGTCAATATATTTAATATTGTTAGTGTCATTTCATCATCTTTATAGACATATTTGACACATACTCTAATTTATTTCATATACAATATTAGTTCTTCTATTTTTAATATGTCTAAAAGAATAGTGGGTTGGTACTAATGATGTTAAATATATTGCTAACCTTTGACTAATATTAATCTTTGTGCTGAGGTAGAATTATATTTTAACAAATTGAAACCTGAACAGTGAAACAAAACATGGTGGACAATGATGTTAATATGTTAATTCATAATTCCATTCAACATAGATTAATGACGTTTATCATATGTCAATATATTTAACATTGTTAATGCTATCTTATCGTCTTTATAAGTATATTTAAAAATAAAGGGGCTAATATTGCATACGAAATAAATTTGATAGACTTGAATCAAAAACAAAAAACTATAATGACCTATACCAAAGCACATTAAAATTAAAAAAATTAATACTTATGTTCTTCCCTTTTTTTCATTATAAAATAATTATCAATAATTTATATAGTTTAAGTGGGAAAAATATTTATTTTTGGATGTTGAGTTATAATAACAATTTTTTTAACCAATGAGTGATGATAAATAATAGTTTTGTTCATTTTTTTTAAAAAATATAACTTTGAGTCCATGCACTTTGCTCACATTGAGTTTGGTTTGAGTGCTCATCATAGTGATGACCTCTAGACCATTCAAATTTTGATTTGAATAGTTCAGATTTAAACCATTATTATATATTATATTTTTTAAAAATAAAAATTATAAAAATTATAAAATAATTTTAATTAATTTTTTATTTTTAATATGATCTATATTTAATTTAAAGGGTTCAATTTAATATTAAAATTTTTATAATTAATATATATTGACTATTCAAATGTACTTTGCATATTTTAGATTTAATATGGTGCTAATTTAAACTGTGCAGAGTATATTTGAATAATCAACATATAATAATTATAAAAAAATTAATATTAAATTGGACCCTTCAAATTAAATCTAGATTATATTAAAAATAAAAAATATCATATATACTAATGGTTTAAATCTAGATCACCTATATCAAAATCTGAATGGTCCAGATTTCATTACAGTGATGAGCATCCAAACCGAGTTCTCTCGTATTTTGTTAAAAGTCCCTACACTTTTTTTAATATTCTAGATCCCTACACTTTTATTTTTTAATGTTCTAAGTCCCTAAATGAATAAAGTATAGGGACCTAAAATAAAAGTATAAGGACCTAGAATACTAAAAAACAAAAGTGTAGGGACCTAAAATATCAAAATAAGTGCAGGGATATAAAACAAAACGTAAATAAAGTGTAGAGATTCAAAGTTATTTTTTTTTTTATAAATATAGCTTGATCATTTTTAAAATTTTAATTTATTTAAACATAGGAAAAATTTCATTTAAAACCTCTTAACCACACTTTATAAAAAAATAAGGCCATTTAAACTTTGAAAATTTACTTTAGATCATGAATGCTAAAATGAAATTAAAATGTGAAGTAAAACTACCCCATTGTCTCTCATCCCCTCTAATTCTCTACTCTACTAAAATTATTCATTTCCCTAACGAAATTGTTCATTGACCTACATGAGTTATTTATATCATTACTAAATCTTAATTTTATTTCAAATATTGCATTATTGTAAAATAAGTTGTTTATTTTCCTATATCAAGTTGTTCGTTCATTGACCTATAGAAGAAGTTTGTGCCATTACTAAATATTGATTTTGTTTCAAGTATTGTAATCATGATAAAATGTATTGTTTATTTTCTTATATCAAATTGTTTATTAACATACAATAGTTGTTTGTGCTATTACTACATAACTTCATATAAGGAAATAAATAATTTCATATAAGGGAATGAACAATTTCAATAAAAAATCAGAGTAAATGATGAACAATAAGATAATTTTATTTTATATTTTAATTTCACTTCAATACTTCTAATATGATGTAAATATTTAGAATTTAAAAAGTCTTCTTTTCTGTTAAGTATGATTAAGGGTCTTAAATAAAATTTTGCCTGTTAGAATGGGGGAAGGAGCAAAGAAGCAGAGAAGGGGGGTCAGCGTCCGTCGTGAACTTGAAATAAAGCCCTACCCAATGGCAACGGGAACAAATATTATTTTAAACCCAGCCACAGCCAGAAAATGAGAAAAGCTACATTACCGTTGGCAAAAACCATCGCGACTCTTCCTTTCCTGCGCAGATCCAACGGCCACTATTTAGTAGCCGTTGTTTTTAAAAATGAATTGCCTCGGCCCCGACATCTCCGTCTCAATTTCCCCCTTTTTCTTAAATCTTTTTTGTTCATTTAGTTGTCAACCAGAGAGAGCGAGAGTCCGCGTTTCTGTGTGGAAACCTCACAGGGCCACGCCATTTCCTGGTGAAGATAAGCTGACTGCTGACTCATCAGAGACAATTCTTCTTGAATGCTGGTGGATTACCTTATCCCATTCGTACTCGATTATCTTGATTTGTTTCTATTCTTTCCCCCCTCTTGTCATGGATCTTGGTTTTTCATTTTCTTTCCTGTTCTATGATGCATAATGTTTTATTATTATTATTATTTTTTTGGTGGCTGAAAATGTCCAGTTATTGCCTCTGCTTGGACTGAGGATAAATGGGCGGCTCAAAGGAGACCCAATACCGTCTGGGTTCACTGATGCCTTCATCAAATCTTCAAGGTTAACATAATTGAGATCTGGGGAGAGAAAAAAAGATCTTTACTGGTTATCCTTTTTATTCATGAAACTTAAAAATCAAGTTGAAACATATACCATGCGACGTTTATCTCTTGAATTTGAGATTGATTCTTCGCTCCCTTGTATTCTGGTGTCTTTAATTATAAAGGCGGTTCAAGAATGGACGGCATCAAGCTCATGAAGGAGATGACACAGAATAATCGTCGGGCTCTGAGCAATATCAATCAGAATATAATGGAGGCTACTCATAAGCCTTGTGTGGTCAACAGAAGAGATCCATCAGGGTAAGTTCTTCTATTTATGTCGAGGCAAAACTAAGAAAATCTAGTCTTGTGCTGATATTTTATCTCTCTCTGTTTTCTTCTCCTGCGTTATCAAATAGCACCATTAAAGAGAATTGCAATATATTTATGAAATTTCAGTTGAATGTCCCTTGTTCCTTTGATTGACAAGTTTTCTTTTGGATTTCTTTTCTTTCAGAAGATATACAGAACAGACAGTTCAGCACTGCCCTGAAGTATTCTCTCTATAGATCAAATGTGGATGGTGTATTTGATCTTTGATTCTGGCTGTTCTTTGAGCATATTTGAATAGTTATAAATGCGCTTGATTGCCTTTCAGGAAACCAAAAAACGAAGCTTGTTGGCTCCGAACCCTAGTTACCAGTTGGACGGTGATATAACAGATATTGAAGAATACGAGGGTGCTGGTGACAATGGAGTTCCAGTGTTTGTTAGGCACACAGAAGCAATGCTGGACGAAATTGAGAGATTAGTGAGTGCTTTAATATTCAACTTATCTCATGTATAGCTTCGCTATATACACTTGCACCAAAATTATAACACAGTATGTTGCTCCCAGGAGGAAGTGGAAATGGAGGACGTGGAGGAGCCTATTATGGACATAGACGATTGTGATACGAAAGATCCACTAGCAGTTGTTGAATACATAGATGAGATCTACGAATTTTATAAGAAAACTGAGGTAAGATTTGAATTTTGTGGTGAGAGACCTGCTTATCTCCAATCAAGCTCTGGAACTGATGAAAAATGGGATTTTCGGAAAGGAAGTATTAATAGAAATCATCCGAACGACTAGATCTGCACATCCTCCTGGTCAGTCAGTAGAAAACGAGTTGACTTTGATCAGTCGTAGAATGCCTTACATTGCTTGTAGCGTAGATATCATATGATCTGGACATCGGCGATTGTGATACGAAAAGATCCACTAGCCGTTGTTGAATACATGGATGAGATTTAGGAACTTCATAAGAAAACCGAGGTAAGATTTGAATTTTGTGGTGAGAGACTGGCTTATCGCCAAACAAGCTCTGGAACTGATGAAAAATGGGATTTTCGGGAAGGGGAAGTATTAATAGAAATCATCCTCACAACCAGATATAAACATCCTCCTGGGCAGTCAATAGAAAACGATTATTGACTTTGATCAGTGTAGAATGTCTTACATTGCTTTCTTGTAGCGTAGGTCTGGATATCATATGATTTGGTCGGTTCGATGAAAAATATGAAGAATTAAGAGAAATCATCCGCACAACCAGATATGCACATCCTCCTGGGCAGTAAATAGAAAACGATATAATTGACTTTGATCCAGTCGTAGAATGTCTTATATTGCTTTCTTGTAGCGTAGGTCTGGATATCTTATGAAGAAAAAGAAAAGACTTGCTATAGTATGTTGACCCGTTAGCTCTTTTGCAGAATTCTAGCTGCGTCTCTCCAGATTACATGGCTGGCCAGTTTGACATCAATGAGAAGATGAGGGCTATCCTCGTTGACTGGCTTATTGAGGTACTGCATCCTAGTCCCATAATTTTTCATCGAAAATCTACCAATAACTTACCACTGATCTTGATCCACATCAAACAGGTTCACTACAAATTTGAGCTTATGGAGGAGACATTGTACCTTACCGTCAATCTCATAGACAGGTTCTTGGAGCGTCAGGCGGTGATCAGAAAGAAGCTTCAGTTGGTCGGTGTAACAGCCATGCTAATAGCTTGCAAATATGAGGAGGTTTCTGTCCCCACTGTTGAGGATTTCATCTTGATAACCGACAAGGCGTACAAAAGGGAAGAAGTTCTAAATATGGTGAGATTTTCATTTCTTTATTGTTATACCCTTGCGTCCCTCCCATCGCTGAAATGCATCTGATAGACTTGTTCTGACAGGAGAAGTTAATGATGAACACGTTACAGTTCAGCCTGTGTGTGCCTACTCCGTATGTGTTCATGAGGAGATTTCTTAAAGCTGCTCAGTCTGACAAAAAGGTGAGTGATACAGTTCTATGAAGATTGTCATTTCGAATGAATTTGATTTGATGTCACCCCCGAGTAAGGGCTTATTATTGTGGAACTGAACCAGCTGGAGCTCTTGTCATCCTTCATAATCGAGCTTTGCTTGGTGGAATACAAAATGCTCAGGTTTTCACCATCTTTGCTAGCTGCTGCAGCCATTTACACAGCTCAGTGTAGTCTGTATCAGTATAAGCAGTGGACAAAGACTAGTGACTGGTATACTAATTACTCGGAAGACCAGCTTTTGTGAGTTGCTTTTGCCAGTATTTTTATGTTGAATGTTTATAAGCTTCGTGAGATATGAAGAGCCATAATTCCTTATGGATTTTATACTGTGTGCTGACAGAGAGTGCTCAAGAATGATGGTTACTTTCCATCACAAGGCTGGGACTGGTAAACTCACAGGAGTTTATAGGAAGTACACTACGTGCAAGTATGGTTATGCCGCAAATATGAAACCAGCCCTTTTTTTGCTGGACTCTGACTGATATGTGTATTAGATAATCACTTGCTTCTACTGCAAATCGCAGCAGAAATTGTACTGTTATCTCGAAGGAAGTTTCCCTCATGTTTTTATCCTTCCTTTTTTTTGGTTATTACAGTTATGAATGTCCTTAAATATCTTTTAAGGATGTTTCTTTCTTTCTTTTTCGGGGTGCTATTATAGTTAAAGACATCTTCAAGCTTTGGTCGGATCAATCAATCTCCCCTCTCAATACAGTACACTGTTGCATTGCCAATTTGTCCGAATTGTGAATCTCCCATCACACAATCTTAAGGCACTCGAGATTTTAATTTGAGTTTTCTTTCTCTGACTTTCATAGTATACTTTGGTTTTTGTGAAAGTCAAAAAAGTAAATTTCTCTTTCCTGGTATTTTATGAAATTTTTTGAACCAACCATTAATCATTATTATATAGAACTAGGAATTTGGGTATGATTGTAAAAAAATTGTCATGTAATGCCTTATTATTATTATTATTATTTTTATCAGCCTCTATCTTTTGTCTAACCCTCCGTTTGGAAGGGAAAGATTATAGGTTGAAAGGAATATTATGGTAAAAAAAATAAAAGAAAAAGGCATTCTTTCTCCCTAGCATAAAGTTTTTATCTTAGTTTTCTCCACTTTAAAGGGAAAATTAGAAGAAAATAAGGGTAGGAAATATCTTATTCTTCTAGTTTTATTTCCTAGTTTTCTCTCTTCTCTTTTTTTTTTTTTTTGTTTCACAGTCCAAACAAAAGAGGAGGAGCTTAATGAAAGATTGTCTCTTTGTATTGATTTTAGTTTGTCTTGACTTTGGTTGTATATGATCCTTTTCTTTTTAGTACAAAGAGTAGGCCATGTTGATAGCAAAAAATATTTCATTTATCCTCTTAACTATGTTGTTACGTACATTACTTTATTGATGAGTAGATTTCAGCTTTTCATTAAAATAAAAAATCACTTCTATCCTCGTCCTTCTCCATAGAATATATGAGCTCATGCAACTTAAAAGCTTCATTTCTTACCATTCTGTCCACAGTTTCCTTCCATCTCTTCATTTTCTAATTTGGAGTATTTTAATTATGATTAACAGTTGAAATATTTCATTTGTATTATGTCAGATTATAATATGCAATTATTCCAACTCTTATCAATTTTGTTTAGAATTATACCTCCATCTCAACATTTGTACCATGTCTACCCTAATTTTTGCTCCACCCTTTGATACCCAACATTCATTATTATATAGAACTATTTATTGTCGCTTGGCAAAATTTTTAAAGTTTAATAGGTACTTTATAACCACAAATGATTTCTAATTCCTTCCTCCATTTTGACCAACTATCTTATATACTATGTACTTTTTCCCATTATCACAATAAGCATTCTATTGTAAACTTTTAAGAACTATCTATAGATGCACTAGATGACCAGTTAATATAGTGCTGTAAACTAGCATGTCGTCAAAGAAGACAGATGAAATGTCTCAAACAAGACCGAAATAGATCATTTGTAGAAGATTAGAAGGTGGCCAGTGCATTAATGAGACCAAATGACCTGAGTGAGCTTGGAAGGTGGTTTTATAAATATCTTTATGTTTAACTCTTATTTGGTGGTATCGTGAATGCAAATCAATCTTTGAGAAGACTATAGCCCTATGCAACTCATCAATTAGTTCATCATCAACATTGGGAATGAGGTATCTGTCAGGAATGATTATTTTATTTAATTCTCGATAGTCAATGCAGAATCTCCATGAATCATATTTCTTCTTTACCAATAACACAGGACCAGCGAATGGGCGTATAAAGCACTTGGCTATTAATTCTATAACTTGTTGTCTTATTTCATCTTTTTAGTAGTGCAAGCATCTGTATGGTTTGATATTGGGTGGTGTAGCAAGAGGTTGGAGATTAATGGAATGGAATCAGTTTTGAAAAGGAGGGAGGGCAGTCGGAGTATCAAAAACAGAAATATATTCATCAAGTAATCTTTGCAGTAAGCATTGAAAAGTTTCCTACTCTTGAAGAGCCTATTGAGACATTGAACGCAGCCCTGCCTCGGTATAATTTTGGACCGAACTCCCTGTAGTTTGCACCTCTTGCCATTGACCCCAAAAAACCATGAACATTCATTGCCAATTTGCCTGGACTGTATTCAAAGATGATAATCACTTGATACCCAACACTAAATCAACACCACCCAATGAGAAGGGGGAAAAATCTTCAATGACTTCTAATGGCTAAAGTCGTACTTCAACTTGAGGACGCATGTCATTGCTATAAATGATATGTCCATTACCTATCTATACTCCAAAAGGAGGGACAGGTTTAGTTGGAACCTGTAAAGTTTGCACCAGCATAGAAGAGATGAAGTTGTGGGTAGAACCACTATCAATCAAGATAAGAACTTCCTTTTGTTACAAGATGCCTTCCATTTTCATAGTAGTACTCGTGAGGTGTCCCAATATAGCATGAAGTGCTATTTCTGCATGAACTTTTTGTTTTCCTTCTGGGTTCAATACTTCGGCTGGCTTTGCTTTTATCTCAGGTTCTTCAGAGATTTCCATGGGTTAGATTGGCGTTCTTGCAGCGATGGCCTAGAGCACACTTTTCTCCAAAACAAGAACAGAGTCCCTTGTCGCGCCTTAACTGCTTTTCTGCATCCCAAGTCACATTCGTGCATTGCGCGTTAGCGGATGAGTTGGCCGTCATGTGTGCGGATGTGGTAACTGCTACGTGAGCGTCTTTTGAAGGCCACACAGATCTTACATGTGTTCGATTTGCTTATGGAGTCCCGTAGGTTTTGGGTACTCTAGAATATTGTTTGAACTCATATTCTAAGGCTGAACTCCAGGCTTTGTAAATTGTTATGGGCTTTTGAATTTTAATAAAAGCTCATAGTTCTTAAGCCTGTTTAGATTAACCCTAGCAAGCAATGTTTTGGCCAATTTTTAACCCTATCATATTGCTTTGGGAATTACAAGCGATATTGTTTGCTTGATTCCACAGAGGTGTTTGTCTAGTTTTTGAAACTCCACAGGCCGAAGTTCTCTTGGAGCGTGAGCACAAGGTCTACCCATTAATTGATCGATTGTTCTGAGTTAGCCTAGGCAAAAAGATCTAATACGTCCCCCTGTACGTACATGGAGGCTGCATCTACTTTCATATCCTTAGGAGTTAAATAATATCTTAAATATTTTTTAGCCTTGAGTATCCAGTGTTTGGGATCTCCACCATCAAATTTGAGAAAGTCATTTGGCCAAAAAAAAAATTGAGAAAGTCAACTGGCGGGTCCAATTTAGACACCATTATGACATGAAAGTAGTTGAAAAATAGAATATATTGCGTCACTAAGAACTTTATGTGTTTTGCAGAGAAAGAGCCGAAAAGGACCAAAAATCATGCCTATATCCAGTTGCAGATAAGGAAGAGCTGAGAAAGCTAGCACATGCTTAGATTGCGAGCGAACGAAAGGCTGGTAAGTGCTTCAACCGAGGGCGGATGAAATTAATTACAGAGGGCGCGACTGCTAGCAAATTAAAAATCAGAGACACGTGGCAACTGCAAATTAGAGTCAATAATTTGAATAGATCAGGCTTATTTAAATTTAGTTCAATTTAGGTTAAATTTATTCGAATCGAATTTAAAATATTATATTTTTTAAAAAAACCTATATAATCAAGCCTAATCCTAACATTTTCGAGCTTTGAACTTATTTGAGCTGACTTGAATACCTAAAACTTTTCAAAAATATTTTTTCTTTATTTTTTGAATCAATTTTAATTTATAAATAATTTTGTTAAGTATAAAATATTATTATAACTTCAAAAGAATAAAATAAAAAATAATAACTTATTAACTTTATACTTAAGTAACTCTATTACTATTTTATTGTATTATGTGTAATTTATTCATGAATGTTTGTTTACTTGTAAATTAATGTGTTAGTTATTTAAATATTACTCTTATTTCTTAATCTTGCCAAAGTATTGCTTGTTCATGACACCGAAGTCGATACCCCTGACATGACCAGGGTGGTAAGAGGTCCCCAATGCTCCAGCTAAGATATCCTCATGCTCAGGAAGCTTGCCTTATGAGACTTCTTGAGGGAGGGAATCTTGTGAAAAGTAGAGCTGATTAGTATACATTTTCATAATCATTTTTTAATTGATAGATAAGAATAACACTTATAATTTTTTCAGCAACCTCTTTCACATGAAGATTATCAATCACTCCATCTTTATTTGTTCGTGCCAATGCCCAAAGTCTTTGGCAAGATATGGTAACATTCGATCTCTCAGCCTCCACTTCTTTTTGCTTCATGCCTACATACCTTAACCTCCCTACTTTGTAAGGGTATTCATTCTTAACCACTCTCTCCTTATTCTGAGCGCTCGGTTCCTTTAATCAATAACAAAAATATCTTGTTAGTACACATATATAGATTCAATAAAAGGAACCAAAATTTAAATTTTAGAAACATAAATATCTTAAATTCCTTTTTGAGTCGAGAGGCAACAAAAGCATCCCAATCTTCCTACTTTACTAAAGGTTGTAAAAGGAGAGGAACTCAGGCTACAAATTCAGTACGAGGGTCTTTCAAATATTTTTGTGTGATAAATGTCTAAAAGATCATAATGCCCTCCCAGCCTTTTGAAGGACAAAATCCTTCTTGCTCTCATCTATTTCAAATATTGACTGTAAAATAAAATAAATATGTTATGTGCATCAATTTAAAACACTATAGTAGAATATAACTTAGTAAAATGCAACTTACATATACGGTCTCCCAAACAATTTCCTTTGTGGCTTGATCAACTTTGCGTCATGATTTCTACGTGATAGGTATAGTTGTCTTTGCCATAACCTCAATATAACTTATAAACTTTACAGATTTGATGGCTTATCCTTTCTTGTTCTACTTGTTTTTATGACTTCTTCCATTATTGTCAAGCCCCGTTGGAGTCATATATAAATATTTTATATATTTTAATTAAATTATAATATTTTAATTATAATCAAGTTAATCTCAATTCAATCATAATTAGACTACTAATTTAAAATTATTGCCCCGATTAGTTTAAAGTTTTTAATAACTTTTGGGTAAACTATACTTTTTATTTTTAAGAATATGAGAAAAATAGACATCATTATATTATATAAAATAAAATTATTTAATTAGGAGTGACATACTATTTTTTTTAAATGTTTTTCTTTACCATTTTATATTATTTAACCCCTACATACAAGGAATATGTACTTTAATTTTTTTTTAATTTTTAACCAAGTTTGGCATAGACAATAATCAAATAATTATCCTA